ATTTTGTCTTCTGAAAACCGTATGGGATATATTTTCTCTCTGTGTGGAACTAGATATGCCAAATCTGCCAGACCTCAGAGGGTACTAATGCTGTTTGTCTACAGCAAGATCTACAGGGCTGCGATGGTCATCCTGTTTCTAAACACACAGTTTATAATACCGAGACTGGTAATGATCCAGATACTTGCCTGGAAGCTCAGATATATCAGAAGTTCATACACTTTTTTAAAATGTCAGCTTTCTAAGAATGTCTGTGTATACTGATGAATATATAAATATTTCTAAACTGGAATGTTTCTGAATTAGAAAATTTATGCAGTGGTTGAACATCAGGTTATTTTAGTGAGTCAGACTTCTGTGATTCAGGGAGAAAATGGCAGCTTCCCACCCTAGGAGAAAGAATCCTTGGCAGAATTTTTTTTCTTCACTTTTAATTTCAAGGTAGGGCAAACCCTGATCCTCATGATTATATTTCTTTTCCACATGGATATGCATGTCTGTCATATGAGTGTATGAACAAAACTACTTTTGTGTTAAGAAGATATCTCTTAAACTGTAAAATGAGTGGGTAACCTTATGTCTACTTTTTCATTTGATTTTAATGCAGTTGGTATTTTTTATGAAGTTTGTGAGTTTAAAACATTGCATTGAGTTAAATCTAAAGGAGAACAGTCTTATTTAATCACTCATTTGACTTAGTCTATAAGAGTAAACAAGGATAGAGATACAGATTTTCTCTATCTGTTGCACAGGTTTATGGTATGCACGTGTGTCTTCAGATTTTCCTTGTCCTTGTTGCCGGTTGTTCTTTGTGAGCTTGTCCCTTCTCGTGCATTCAGCTGGGCTGAATTCAACCAAAACTCTTGGCAAGTTGAGGTTAAAAAGTATTTGTCAGGCTAAAAGAAATCACATATCGTGATTCACAATAGCTAATTGCTTTCGACATTACCATGATTACAAGAGGGACACCGTTGCTTTTGCCCAGCTGACTTTTGAGAGTTCTGGCTACTGGCTGGGTCTGGTTTAGGTGTCTGAGGATTGGAAATGAGGAACTGGGGAGAAAGTTTGTTACATGCCCTTTATGTAATCTTCCTTCACAAAATGTTTGAATACATAAATAACTTTTAAAGATTTTTTTTTTTTTTTTTTAATACATGAACTAATGGTCAAGGAAGGAGAACAACTTGATTGCCTTCTTCCTCCACCTTTGGATTTTAGTAGCAGTGTTGAAAGGTAATGCTGAACTTACAGGCAGATAAAAGTAATCTTTATTACCCCTTAATATTTTCCAGGCTACTACATGATCTTTTTGAACAAAGTTGTCTGCAACAAGATTCATTTGGAGCCATGTTTAAATAAAAATTACAAAAAAAAAAAATTGAAATCCTGTCCTGAAGAAGCTGTAGACAGTAAACATCACTCTCACTTGGAGGAGTAAAATGCGGAGTATACTTATCTACATTCTAGATGTCCCAGTTTTGCACTTCACATTCCCATTTTAATGTAATGTGCATGAGGCATGTGGTGGATCAGTCTCTCTCTGTCACTAATATCAGAGGATGTTTTGGTCACATCAAGAGGCAGGCATGGCCACACAGGGCATCCACAAAACCAAGCATCACTTCGTGCATGGAAACCTGTGGAAAGGGAGATATGTTTCCTTGCAGGTGCAGAGCTCTGCAACTTGTCGCCAGCTTTGCAGGGCTTGTCAGACAGCAGGTAAACTGTCTCTGGCATTTAGTATTTTGAAACAATACATAAATGAATAGCTGTGCTAGGAAGCAGTAAAATCCAGGCATAGCAGCACTGGAGCAGCAGACAGGAGCTAGCTGAGTTTCTCTCAGGTGTAACGCGTGAATCTTTACATGTCTGGTAACTGCTCTGTCACAGCTGATTTATTTCTGGTCTGTGGAAATGATCTGTTTGTATGTATGAGTCTTTAAAAACAAGAAAGGAAGCTAGACCCTTGTTACAGCAAGAATACTGCTTCCTCACCAGCCGTCCAGTTTACTGTACTCTAGATAAGCAGAAGCTTGAAGTTAGAAGTTGGAGTAGTACTGGTTTCACTTTAAAACCTCAGGCTGTTTTTACAGTGTGTATTTGTGGTGGGTTTACCTTGGCTAGGGGCTGAACTCCCACCCAGCCGCTTGGTCTGCCTCCTCAGCAGGGCAAGGGGAGAAGATAGCATGAGAATGCTCAGGGGTCGAGATAAAGACCGGGAGATTGCTTACCAGTTAAAGTCACGGACAAAACAGACTTCACTTGGGGAAAATTAGTTTAATTTGTTGCAAATTGAAATAGATTTGGATAATGATAAATTTAAAAAAAATCAAAAAAGAAAACACCACCACCCCCTGACACTACTTTCCCATGCTCAGCTATCTCCTCCACCTCTGTGAGCAGTGCAGGGGGATGGAGTCTGCAGCTGCTCCATAACAGCTCCTCTCTGCTGCTCCTTCCTCTTCCCACTTTCCCCGAGCACCAGTACAGGGCCTCTCCATGGGCTGCAGTCCTTCAAGAACTGCTCCAGCACAGGCTTTCGACAGGTGGTAGGGAAATACCTTTTCCAGTGCCTGGAGCACTTCCTCCCATCCTTCTTTCACTTTGGTGTTCACACTGCAGTTTCTCACACTTATTTATTTCCTTTCCTACTCTGCCTGCGCCATGTTTTGTGCTTTCTTAAGCCTGTTTTCTGTGAGGTGCCACCATCTTGCCTTAGGGGATCAGAAATGTCCTGAGTTGGGTCCATTGGAGCTGGCTGAATCCAGCTGTGTTCAGCATAGGGGAGTCCCAGGCGTCAACAACAAAGAAGGCCAAGGAGAGTCTCCATCCCTTACTGGATGCGAGGGGGAATATTGCCAACTAGGAGGAGGAAAAGCCTGAGGTACCTAATGCCTTCTTTGCTTCAGTCTTTAATAGTCAGACTGGTTATTCTCAGGGTAGTCAGCCCCCAGTGTTGGAAGATAGGGAAGGAGAGCAGAATAAACCTCCCATAATCCAGGAGGAAGCAGTTATCGACTTGCTATATCACCTGGACACTTACAAGTCCATGGGGCCAGATGGGATCCACCCAAGAGTGCTGAGGGAACTTAATCTGACAAAGGCATATAGAATTAAAAGAAAATATAAAGTAAAAATATTTATTTGCTTTATTTAGCATAAATTAAAATTTCGCTTACCAGTGGCAGGCCTTACTCCCATGAAAAAAATCTTCATTTATGTAGAGGTCAGAGAATGAACCAGTGTAAACCAGCTTTTACAGTGAGACCCTTATTTTTCTGTGTGCCACAGGTTGAAGGGTTTTTTTTTGTTGTATTTCTAATAATGCCATCATATTTGTCATTAAAATTTTGAAAGTATGGTAAGATTAGGCAATGCTTTAAAGAAGCATTAATAGTTGGGAATTCTTCACCAGCACTTCAGAATGCATTAGATCTAACTATCACTTGCATACCGCCAAATGTGTTATTGATAAAATATAGTCAGGATCCAAATGAATAAATGAATATTTGCTTTTGCAGAATAAAAGCTGTTTCTGACTCGGCAGACGTGGCTTTGAAAATACAGCTGCCACCTAGGATAAAGGTAATATTGGCTTTCAATGTGTGGCCTTATTAAGTAGAGATCTCGCTATAGGTCTCACTATAGCATGTGGAATATATTTGGTTAGTTACCAGAATCACTCAAGGTGTGCTGATATTCTTTTCTTTAGGTATGTGGGCCAGGAGGTCTTTTTTTCACAGTGACCTCCTGATTTCAAATGGCTATTTGACATGCATTACTCCTTAACATATTTTCACAGATAAGGGAGATAAATAGCTCTCTGGGCTAGTAATTGCCTATGGAGTTCAATGCCTTCAGATGAAAGAGTCCAATACACTACTGACTGAGGAGATTAGAAGGTCTTTTAAGGAATTTGGATTAGCAGGGATCTCTGAATGATGTGAACCTAAGATTAGTTCTACAAAGCATCTTCATGCTAATCTTTGCAATGTAAGGTAAACCTCTGGGTTTCTGGCATTCAAGGCGGCATTCACCTCACTTGGGTGATGCCTGGAGAAAGTTTCGTAGAACCATAGAACAGTAGAATGGTTTCGGTTGGAAGGGATCTTTAAAGGTCATCTAGTCCAACCCCCTTGCAATGAGCAGGGACATGTACCACTAGATCAGACTGCTCAGAGCCCCATCCAACCTGACCTTAAATGTTTTCAGTGATGGGCCACCTCTTCCGGTGTTTCACCACCCTCATTGTAAAAAATTTCTTCCTTATATCCAGTCAAAATCTACTCTGTTTTATTTTAAAGCCATTACCCCTTGTCCTGTCGCAACAGGCCCTGCTAAAAAGTCTTTCCCCATCTTTCTGGTCAGGCATTTGAACAGGCTGCCCAGGGAGGTTGTTGAGTCACCATCCCTGGAAGAATTTAAAAAATGTGTAGATATGGCAGTTCAGGATATGGTTTAGTAGGCATGGTGGTGTTGGGCAGATGGTTGGACTTGATGATCTTAGAGGTCTTTTCCAATCTATGATTCTATGATCTCCTCACAGAGGCAACCCCTGCCACCCAAACCTTGCTGCCTATACCCGTTGCGGTCTTCCTGCACATTGCTCTAGTTGAAAATGAAGACAGCTGCACATACATATTTATGTATCTTTTACTGCATGGGGGTGAGCTTTCAAGTGTACTAGATATTGCTTAGGACAAGAGAAAAAGTGCTAAGGACTTGGGTGCCAAGGCATTGAAGCAGCCGTAGTAGAAGTTATGCCATTTTCTGAGGGGCTTGCATTGTATTTGCATGGAATTGAAAGATGTGATTTGCTCATTAAATAGTCGATGACAGTGTGGTTTCATTAACCCATCCCCTGTTGAGAGGACACATGGATACTGCTTGTTGGAGAAGTTTTATTCTCTCACCAACGTGATTTGTTAGTTCCTTAGGCAGGTGAGACACTTTGTCTCTGTTGGTAATGTTTGACTGACATGCTTTCCCTCTTGAAACAGATCATGGTAATGTCAGATGGCACATCATTCTCTTCAGGACAGAGCCTTCATCTCCCCAACCTTCCCAGTAACTCCCTGTCTTTTTCTGAAGTGAAGAAGAAATCATCTCATGGGCTAAAGGTGAGACTTGAGCCAGTGGTGCTTCCTGTGGGAATTAACTGGGGGGAAAAAAAGTGTTTCTAGTTATTTAGCTATTTTTGCAATGTCATGATAAAGTCCAGTGATAATAGATATTGACATTTCTTTGTTGTGAACTTACTGTTTGCCACATGAAAATAATGCAGAACAAGGATAGCTGTGAGAACAGGTGCCAGTGAAGGTACTGCTTTTCTGGTTTTTGTACATACACAGTTGTTTTCATCCTTTTCCAGAAGAAATTCTGTTAGCCTGTTGTAGTATTAGGGGATTCTGGTGATAGAAGTGTGATCTACAGAAAGGTAAAGAATATGAGAAAATACTATAATAATCATTTCATTTAAAAAGTATTTTGGAATACTTTTAAAGGGGTAGAGTGAAACTGGAAGTTGTGTCCTTTAGGATTTTTAAGTTTGTTTAAATTTCAGGGGTTAATTCTTTACTGGGTATTTCAAAGACAGCAATGTGTCATCAGTCTCTAGGGCATAAAACTGAATCCCCAACCTAGAACATGGTAAAAGGTATAGTCCAATGAACCACTTAAGTAATCCAAATGGACCTTTCCAAAACAGCACATAACTTCTTCAGTTTGACAAAATCTTAATAATGTGGGAGAATAAAGAGCATCTTCTTATTTATTCAAATAAGAAATGCGACACAATAACTTGCTTCATGAATGAATTAACATACATGCCTTTTCTCCATTCTGTTAAATTGTTTGGGGTTTGATTTTCTTTCTTAGCATCCTGTCAATTTGAAATATGTTACTTAATCTTGCAGTGGATGTACTGTGAGGGGCAATATCCATTTTTATCAATAACCTTCATATTCTGTAGCTGTGCCAAATCTTGTAAGAAATGTCAGGTAATGAACTATGGCTATGCCTAAGTGTGTCCATTGATGAGACTGTATCACAACAGTAAGGATATTGGGGGGGCGGGGGGGAGGTTCTATGTGGATACTGAAGATGAGTTACTTTGATGCTTTATTGTAATATAATAGGGATTCTTATGAGATTAGGTAGTGCTCTAGAGTTCAGTTTCCTATCACTTCTTTGGGTTTGGCTGTAGTGTTGATTCTCCCAAGTCTTGCATTGCATGCTAAAGCAGGCATGCTGATGCTTGGCCTAAATAAGCAATGAAAACACCTGCAGAAGGACTTCGTGGAGGTACAGACATGATAAAAATTCCTACACTAGTGCTCCATCTAGTAACAAGTAGTACACGATGGTAAGTCCTGAATCTGCAGTGCAAATTCTTTCATAAGTGAATGCTAACCTGGGATGTCATTTTCTGAACCATATTTGGACAACAAACTTCTGTCTGATGTAGAGACCTAAGTGTGGAGTGTGGTTGGGGTGAAGCAGGAGGGAGTGTTGCATGTTTCCGGCACTCGTCCATGTAAGTTAACATTTGAAATCTTTCATTTTTGCTGAAGGAACCCAACCACCTGCAGTGAGTTTGACCCATAGCAGAAAGTTACAGGAGTCAGTAGGAGGTCAGATGTGCATCACATCTCAGGATAGTATTCAATATCTGTGAGATTGTTACCCACGAATGTTTTTTAAATGTTTGATTTTAAAAATAGGGATGTTCAGCAGCAATGTTGTCTGTTCGAAATAATTTTTTTTTCAACCTTACGTGCTGTTCACTGGAGTTTTAGTAGTGGGAAGAGTTGTTATATCAATACGCTGTTTCTTGACAGTTGGTGTGACTATTCAGTTTTTCCCCTCCCCCAGCAATCTTTGTCTCCTCCTGTCCAACTTAAAGCGCACACTAATGAGCAACTGCTCTTGTATGTCATAAAGAAAGCGTTGTAAATATCCACCTTTCTGAGGATCATCAGCTGTTTTTGAGAAACAGAAACACAAAGTAATCTTGGTTTTAGTATGACTGCTTAGAACCCTTGGATTTTGTCTTTAGGGTTTTTCTTTTGGTTGGGGGACAGGAGAGTTCCAGCCAATGTGTAAACAGACTTTTGTTTTTGTAATTTGGAATCACCCCAGTGACAGAACAACTTCAGTGTCCAAATTTCATTTAGATACACCTCTAGAACAGGAGCTATAGCAAGGTCTTGGTAGCTTTTGGGTGTAAGTTGTCTGTACCAGAAATGTGAGTGTGTGTACTCCAGTTGTCTGCGCTGGATGATTTGGGGATTTTTCTGTGGCAGCAATAGCCCTTTGGTGTGCTTGGCTTGGATTTGGTTTGTTTTGCGTCTGTGAATACCAAAGTAAATTTTGAGGTCAATTTAAACTCTTGAGTGTGGAAAAACAGAACTTAAGGATATTTGCTTACCCATTTGCCATTACAAAGCACTACATAGACTTTCTGGTTAGAAGAGAACTGCAGTCAAGACAGTAAAACCAGTGCAACAAATTGATATTGTTGATTGAGCATTCACTTATTAAAAAAATACAATGCAGTATAAAGTGAGAGAGAACTGCCAGTTTGCTTTCTGTTACATCCTATTCTGAAATATGTATTAAAAATATAGATATTTGTATTTCTGATGTTCCATAATTTTGTGTTTAGTTTAATGGAGATGGTAATGTGATTCTACATCAAAGCTTTAGTCTTGGAAATACAGAGGTCAGGCAGAAATGCATGAAACCTTACTTTATGCATTTTTTCAGAATATAAAAATAGCTGCAGGCCAGCTACAGATACTTGTGTTGCTTTTAAATCAATTGTATTACTATGGCTGTTTGTATTATGTAAATACTACATACACAGAGTACAGTGAAACAGCTTCATTAGTTTTGTTTGGATGATTATGTCTTTTGGAATGAGCTGTAGTGTCAGCTGCAATGAAATTAGGTTTACTTTATAAAGAATAAAACAAAAGCTTTCATTCCTATGTATGACCAGAAAAAAAAAGTTGTTTCATGCTCCCCCTGTTGGCTTTCTCTGTCACACCAGCGCGCTTTGTAATTCTCGATCTGCTTCTGTGGGACTTGGCTCCACCATTTTTCTGATGCCTCCGAAAACTGGCCGCTGTTTTAAGTCTCCCCTAGCACCCCAGCCTAGCTACAGAGAAAAGACTTTCCGTATACGCAGCCGGATTGGCCATGGCTGGCCAGCAGCAGGACAAGAACTGTTACAAACTGAACTCACACCATACCTTGGAGGCTCACAGGTGCAAACGTGATTGGTGTAAAAGTGACTGTTGTGAAGTGAATGTTGTGGGATGGGAGGGTTCTTAGATCAGTTAGTATTTTTATTCAATAATAAACACATTTGTATTCAACAGAAGTCTGAATTTCCTCGAGCAAGTAATTCCTTTTAGCTGTCTCCCTCCTCTTTTTCTCTTAAGAGTAGGAGACGTATTTGAGACTAATTCCAGTCCTCTGGCTGAAGATAGACACATTAAGCCAGGTTGGATGGGACTTTGAGCAGCCTGGTCTGGTGGAAGGTGTCCTAGCCCATGGCAAGGGGGGTTGGAACTAGATGATCTGTAAGGTCATTTGCAGCCCAAACCATTCTATAATTATTTCAATAGGCATAACATTTGAAGAAATGCTTTTTTATTACAAATTAAAGTATGTTTTTATGATCACTAATCCAAAATTTGTAGAATAAACCCAGAGCACAGCAGACTGGTGTGGACATGCCAACGTGCTCAGTTTAATGACTTCATAAAACTTAATGAACCACCCCTCCCTCTCCCCAGTTGCTTCATTTGTTGATTAAGTTCCTAGTGTCTGTAAGCAACGGGAGATGTTTGACATGATTTCCAGAGGATGATGCGTATTAAAAGTCATGTTCAAACAAATTTGGAATTGCATTTTATGGTGCGAAGTCAGAATCTGACCCTGCAGGACATACAGAAAATTCACATGACTTTTTACCTTGTAGTTACAGAAGTGCTTTAGTCTGCAAATGTGTTACCTGTTCAGCAGCTGTCACAGTCCGTTTGGATCTCTCAAATTTACCGGGCAGAGTACTCTGATTTAAACTTTGTTTCATGACCTAATTAAGAAATATAACAAACAAACATGGCAAGCAGGGCTCAGTCCTCTTTGCCCAGCCTAGTCTTTAATGTGAATTCGCTTATTCACTACTCAAGTCATACGGTTTCATAACTTATAACCTGTAACTCTTAATCCATGCACTTAGGAGCAAAAAAAAAACACAAAAAAAACCCCACGAAAAACAGTTACCTAGCTGAAGGTGAGAGTGCTTATCTTTCTTCCTCCATCCTGTTGCAGGCTGCTGATCACAGCATCTGCTGTATCACACTGTGAAAAACAAAAGCCTCAGCAGTCCAGCTGCTGATGGATCCACTTCAAAAGCTTTTTTTTTTTTTTCCTCGTAAGCTTATGTTTTATACCATCTGTCCTGGAGATTTGGTTTACGTTGGTTTACATCATTTCCATAAGTCAGCAGATTCTGATGAAACTGCCAGACAAAGATGATGGCTGCAGGAGACAGAAATTTGCAGGTTGTCATGGCTGCATAGTGGCCCTTTAGTTCTTTTTTTGGCCACCTGTCCTGCCTACCTGGTGTTCTCGCTGCTCCCAGTATACATCAGGCCTTAGCATAAGCTGTGTTAGCCACAATCTGAGCAAGAGTTGAGTGAACAGTCACACTAGCACAGTTTTTCTCTGTTGGTAAACTATAGATTTTTATCATGCTTTCTAAAATACTGAGTTTTAAAGATCTGTTAGTACTTCTCTATAAAAGGGATTATATATCCTGAAGTACTATATGTGCGTAATGTTACTTGGCTCAAGATAAGAAAACATCTGCAGGTATTTTAACAGGTGTATAATCCTCTATATTATTCTTTTGATGTTTGTTATGCAATGTATCAAAGTCTGACATTCACATGGGTTGCTTCAATATTTGATGAATACACAAATGTGAGGTATGGTATGTCTTACCATATGTCTTTGACAGGTCTTACCTGTCAAAACCCCACGATCTCCATTTTTCGTATGAACTTGAAAAAAGACTGTTTTATTTGTCCCTCTTAACAGAAATGTATCATTCACCCTTATTCCTTGCAGCACTTCGTAAGGTGGGAAGGAAAAGAAAGATTTAAATACACTGTTAGATTTTGATACAGAAGAAAACAGGTTGAAAGTATGTTCTGATTTTCAGTAAGATCTGTGCTGTACATGGTGTGGATATTTAGCCATATTTCATCCCCACCAGCCTTCCCCATTCATCATTAGGTCTAATATAATTTTACTAGTGAATATATTCGGGGTTTTTTCTGTCTTACAAATTTTATGTTCCTCTTGCTGTTTCCTCTGAAGCATTGTTGGCTTCTGTTAGGGTTATGGCAGAAACTCTTGTACTATGATTTCTATGAAACTATCAACTTCCGTGTTGTAGAAAGAGGAAAGACGCCTAGTTTTAAAATTGAAAAGGCAGGAAAAACCTCAAGTTCCTAGTGGCTTTAATATTGGTGGGCCCCAGGACCTATTTCACAGCTCGTGTCTGCTTTAAAACCACTAAAATGAGTCCCTCCTTTGGAGCAGTATAAAATACGTGTTAAGGAGACCAATAAGAAACATAAGGACACTGTCTAATTTATTAATGGCACATATTTTATTCCTCCCCAGGGCATGGGTAGCTAGGGTTTCCGTGCAGTCACTCAGAGCAAGGAAGGTAACTCTGAAGAGTAATCCAGAGAATGAATATGCTGAATAGATCCACTAAGCAATTAAAAAACACATACACACAAAAAAAACAAAAAAAAAAAAAAAACACACCAAGAAAGGGGTTTTGACTAAAACAGCTCAAGAAATGTTTTGTGGTTTTTTATTTTTTGGTTTTTAATTACTGGCCTGGGAAATGAGGAATTGCCTTACATTCAGACGTTCAAATATCATCATAGTATTGTTCATTGTTGACACCTCTGCCCATTGTTAATGTTGATGCATATATATTATATGTAGTTAGATTTCCAAATCCGACTCAAATACATCTGCAAGACTGATGCAAAAAACATGTGAACAAAAAGCACAACTGAATAATTTGTGCAACCCTATGTGAAAACTTAGTTTCACTAATCAGTTAAGATAATGAGAAGGGAAAAACAGTTAGAAAGTAATTATTTTTAATTAATTGTTTCCACTATTGCTACAAAGGAGAAGGGTGATACTGCTCTCCTTGCACGTACAATATGTGTAAACCATTTAGGTCCTGCAGCATTAAATACTGGCTTAACACATCCCAGTTGGAGAAGTGATAAATAGTTATCAGTCAACAGGGAGCACACAAGTGGATGTATTCTTAGTCTTAATTTCCCCTCTTGTTGACACAACTTCCATTAAACAGGCTAATTCTGTTTTCTTTTATTGGGTGAGGTTTTTTTCAGAGCAGTTCTACTGACTGTATTTTTAAAATTAGTCAGCCCTGTGGAGGTTGAGGCTGGCCATGTCCTGCATTGGTCTTTCAGTTTCCAGCGCACTGCTGCTATCCCGTCTACATCGTGGGTAAAATCATGAAGTAAGGGTGAGGAAAAGCTGGATATGTTTTCCCCTCTGCAGTTCTGTAAATCAGTGACAGTGTTAGACAGCCAGACACACCACATCTACGTATATACTAGAGGGTTATTGTGCTTTAACTTTGGCGGGCAGCTGAGCCCCATGCAGCTGCTCTCTCCCTGGTGGAACGAGGGAGAGAATCGGAAGGGTAAAAGTGAGAAAACCTGTAGGTTAAGATAAGGACAGTTTCACAGGTAAAGCAAAAGCCGGGCACACAAGCAAAGCAAAATAAGGAATTAGTTCACTACTTCCTATCACCGGCAGGTGTTCAGCCATCTCTAGAAAAGCAGGGCTCCATCATGCATAACAGTTACTTGGGCAGACAAACGCCCGAAGTCCAAATGTCCTTCCTTCTTCTTCCCCTGCTTTTACTGCCAAGCATGACATCATATTGTCTGGGACATCCCTCTGATCAGTCGGCTGCCCCAGCCACATGTCCCCTCCCAATTTCTTGCACATCCCCAGACTCCTCGCTGGCAGGGCCGTGTGAGGAGCAGAAAAGGCTTTGACACTGTGTGATTGCTGCTCAGCAACAGCTGAAACATCCCTGTGTTAAAAACACTGTTTTGATCACAAATCCAGAACATAGCCCCATACAATCTACTGTGAAGAAAACTAACTCTGTCCCAGGAAAAACCAGTACAAGGGTCAAAAAAGAAAAGTAGATTCTTAGCACTGTAGAATGGTAAATGTGGACTGCTAGAAAATAAAATAGAGCTACGGATTTGTACATGAACAGATGAAAGCATATCCAGTCTTACACAGATGAGAGAGTTTTGGGCAGCACTTTGGTCTGCAGCATGCAAAGGACTTGGATGAATAACCAACTAAATTATTGAAAGTCAAACACAGAAGTGTATTTGTAATATTTATACTGACTAGCACCCTTTTCAGTAGTTGCCCAATTCCAATAATGCCTTCTTTGCATAAAAATTATATTGGAAGAACACTTTATGGTAAGTGTTGTTCATCATCCTGTCTTTCAACCTAAGAATTTCATTAAAACTGTGATTCTAGAACTGTGTATTGGGACACCCATAACTAAATATATTCCAGCTTGTGATAAACACTGTCATCTTTTTGTCCTAAGGAAGAATAATGAAAGACTCTTGAGCTATAAGATACATATAGTTGCCAGCAAGTAAAGTGTGAGCATGGGAATCTCTGGCATACTGAGAGTGTGTAGTAGGTATAATTTCCCTAAAGGTATTCCTGTTCTGGCAGTCATGAGTTTGATCATTTGAGAATTGGAGGGTGTAATAGTGGCATGGCAAGTAGCACTTAGGGAATACCCTGCTTTCAGGAGGGGTTCTTTTCCTAGGTTCACAGGGTGGCAGTCTTACAGCTTTTCATCAGGAATGAAATTTCACATACTTTTATTTTCTGGGTTACTATGGGTTCTTTTTTGTGTTACTTCAGCTTGGTATCCCTAATGAAGTCCTATTCCATATAAATCTATACCTAGAGTTACGATTTTCACAAATTTCACAGTACATCAGGTTTCATATTTCATTTTTTTCCCCAAAGTTTTAGTATTATCAGGTTTATGCCATTTAAACCTCTATTGTAGGTAAAGGGGAAGGAAATCAATGGATGTATGCAATGTATTTGAAGTGTTTCTTTCTAAAAGTTTCTCAGATGCTAGGCAATATATAGACAGAAATGCTTATGATCAGCTTGTAAGAAAGTAAGCAACCTAAAGCTGTTGACTGTAGCTTTCTGTAAGTTGAAATGTCAGTCTGCAGGTTTGGAGTAGTATAAAAATGGAGTTGGTTTCTGGTAGAGTGCTACTGGTGTTTCATGCTTATAATGGTGCAGATGAGCTACTGGGTGTTTTTGAGTGCCCACTGCTAACAGTTTCAGTGGAAGTGGGCAGTGCTGAAGCTGTCCTCATCTTTTCAGCATTCCTGGGTGTTAACTCTTGTAAGAACAGGTCCTATAGGCCCCTTTCTGGATGGTTCAGTTCCCTTGTTGATGGTTCTAGCTGCAGATCACCACTTTCCTAGCCACTTTGACTTTTCAGATTCTTAAGTGAGGAATGATACTGCTCTGCTCTTTCTGCTTTTGCCTATCTTATAGGATCTCTGAGTCATCACCCTCTCAGAAACCGTTTTCACTTACAGCAGTTGAATTTAAACAAATGCAATGACATACTCAGCAGAGACAGCAGCAATAAATACAAAGAAGAAAGCTTTTTTACTAAAGGAGGTCTTCCTTAAACAGATGTTGACTGCTAAGATGTGTGTCAAATCAAGTCTTCCATAGCCAGGCTCGACCCAAGAGTTGTTATCGAGTATGAGGGAAAGGATCTGACAAAAACTGGAGAAGGGATCACAGTAGAGAAGTCAAGCTTTACCTGAAGTGTCATCAGGAGCACATGTTTTGCTCTGATCCTGAAGTAATTCTGTTAACAGTATATGGTTCATATCCTGATCTTTCCATACAATTATTTATTTTTTCCTAACAGCTAATGGTCATGGTTAACATATCCTGAATGTCTTTATGTTCATCTTACTTAAAAAACATACCTAATTCTTAAGATCAAAAATAACTTGTCTTGCAGATATTGACAAGCAGTGGTAACTGTTCATGTTCCACCACTTCATAACAGGGAAGTTGACCAAAATGATGGGGTTTGTGTCAGTTCTTATATAGGTATTTGCAGTTTCTGGTTTTCAACCTGCAATTCCAAGTTTTTAACATGAATCCTGTGTCCATATTGTGTCTGTCCTTTGAGACTTTAAAGGTTATTTTTATTTTCCTGTTCGTTTTTCTTCATTTTTTGTAAGTAAAATTTTGCATCTCCTTTTTCTAGGACCCAAATAGGATTCTGAACATAAATAGCAGCAGCAGCAGTAGTAACAGTTTTTCAAAGATCCACAAGTTAACAAAGGAGCACAAAGAAAAAACTTCTAAAGACTCAAAAGAACATAAAAGTGCCTTCAAATTATCTTCCAGGGACCACAAATCTTCCAAAGAATCCTCTAAGAAACCCAAAGAAAATAAACCGCTAAAAGATGAAAAAATAGTTCCTAAGATGGCCTTCAAGGAACCGAAGCCCATGTCCAAGGAGCCAAAATCTGAAAACACCCCCATCCTTACCATAATGGTTGGGCAGCAGCAAGAAAAGAAGACTCCCACAAAAAGGCCCTCTGTTCTGGACTCTGATGAACCTTCTGCAAAAAAAAGAAAAAAAAGTGGCTCAGATTCATTATTTAAAAGTTTTTCTAGCACCCCATCACTGATTCTTACTTGTTCAAGTGACAAAAAACAGACAAAGGACAAATCTCAACTCAAAGTGGGGAGAGTCAAAATTGAAAATGATGCACTGGAAAAGAAAACAACTACTCTGCCACCATTTGATGATATTGTAGATCCCAATGATTCTGACATGGAGGAAAACATGTCCTCCAAATCTGAAGTAAGTGGTGTTTGGGTTTGTGTGTGTTGAGTATTTCCAGTCTATGGGTTTGTGCACCATTTTTGGATTTTCCACTTCTTTTCTCCTGTCTGCTGGCAGATTGTTCAAACTGAAGGATGTTCCCTGTCGGCTGTTCAAACTTACAGGTATTCTAGTCAAAACGTACTGCCAATTAAGTCTACTCAGTTTATAAATCTGTCAACATTATGACGAATGAGCATATGAGAGATGGCTATAAATAATATTGCTCTTTTGATCTTGTTCTTTTGCATTTCATGCTTCTTGTGAGAGAAGAGGAAATTGATTTAAATGCTTACGTATCAGACCCTAAGTCTTTTTGTTCAGGTGTTAGAGAATTCAGTAAATTCAGGAAAGAGTTGCAGTAAATTGGAGTGTTACTAGTTATTTTTCTGCTAAAAAGGGCAGGTCTGTGAATGATGCTGGTTTTGTGGAGGAGGAGGAGTTCCTAGAATCCTTGCACTGATGAGGAGAATCTACCCAAAGTAACAGGCTTACCTGAGAAGGAAGGCTGTTTTCATAGAACTTGCTTTCCTGAAAATATTTGTCTGTCCTACCTGCTTGTCTGTTTCACACATAACTTGCTCTTGATGGTTAGGATTTTAATCATTCTTCTAGCAGACTTCAGTTTTCAGAAACATCTTTTAGAGAGATGAGTAGAGAAGGAAAAGGGTGGGGAGACAAGGTTGATTTGGTGCCTTTATTTGTGCTTATGGCTAGAGGTAGTGTGTGTTGTAGAGAGGAAGTCTTGCCAACCATGCCTGTTCAATTCTCTCATTTTGCAGTGTTCGGTTGTGTGCTTCTGTTACTGTCATCAGATTCATAGCCTTGCTTGCCCTCTCTGGAATAGAAAATAAATACCCTGCTGTGGGGAGGTGTCGACATTAGGTTTTTACTTCATAGAAACTTGCCACGAGGGAGAAAGTAATTTATTTTTGAAGTGACCTTTTAATGACTGGTCCCTTAGGGCATGAAAAGGCTGTAAAATGTAGAAGGTATAGAGTGGGACAGGCACCGCTTCAAAGCATGACACTGGTGATAGTGTGATTGGGATGGCATTCTCATTCTGGCTTAGAACTTATGAATTTGTCTCTAAAACTGGAAATGTTCACACTTGTCAGCCTTGGTGTGAATTAATTTTTAATGTCTTCGAAAGAAGCTGAATCTTCTATTTTAATTTGTTTCAGTATCCTTCAGACTCGCTACCAACCCTCACTGTAGCTGGCTAATTAGCATAGATTTTGCTTTCAGATTTTCTGTTCATTCAAATAGGTGCCATACACCTGCACAAACACTTTTTACTAGCAGCAGTGGTTCTCCGTTGTTCTTCAAAGATAAAATACTGGAGAGGAGCAGCTGCAATGTAACAGGAATTCTACAAACGCAGGCACTACAGTGGTGGGTGCTGCATTGCAACGATAACTGATACGTGAAGGATATGGATAGGTGCTTAAAACCGATGATTTCCAATTGTTGACATGTTTCCCTTTTTCATTGTCTTTCAGCCTCTCACCCATTACCAGTGGTATAATGGGTACACCCTTTTTCATAGGATGACACAAATCCACTTGCACTATTATTTGCCATCCGTCTGCAGCTGACCTGCAGGACCTAAGGGGTGCCTTAATTCTGTACTAAAGCAAAAAAGCAGATTCAGGGTTTTCTAGTTCTGGGAGCCACTCTTACTGAGAGAAAAAACTGCCAGAGTCTGCTCAAAGAGAAGCAGATCCTGCTGATCTGGGCTCTGGGAATTTTAAAGCTGATGTCCTGGAGCATGGAACAGATAGGTCTTCAGTGGGAGGGCCAGTGTGGTCACATCTGTATGGGTGAAAAGGACACCTGCCGCTTTGGGACTGTGCTCAGTAATAAATCAGGCTGACTATGGCTCCAGTCAGTGACTGGATACTACTTAAAAAGTCAATAAGATACTTATTTTTAGAAAAGATACCTAGAAAACCTAGAATAACTCCATAAGATGCCTGTGGATTCACACCGTTGTTAGTGCTGTGGTAGAAAGAGACGGGCAGCCTGGTTAATAAATGTATACAGAATGTCACAAAGAGACGTTTCTTCTACACTTCATTAGTTTTAACCAGGGAGCCTAATGAAAGGTGACAGAGCAGTGTAGCAGAGGTAATTCTGTATGCTGGAAAAAATGGTTTGAACTTTTTATATGTGTCAGTGGGTTTCTAAGCATTTCAGGAAAAGGAGTAGATTTTACAGTTAGATTCATAAAGGGTATATGCTATAAATATAGTCATATAAAGGAAAAAGTGAAAAGTTGCAATGTTACACAGAGTAATAGAAATTAAAATATGATCATTCTTTTGCTATACAGCAACAGTTATGTCAGGTCTGTTAATGCTTCATCATACTAGGTGCCTGATGCTGGGAAGACACTTCTTCATAATAATATGCTATGTGATTCCGTCAAATGTTATTTTTTACTCTGGTACAGTTACAGTGGTGGGTATCATAGCATTGATGAACAAAGAATGTGTCATTATTTAGCAGTATATCTGGTAGTAGAGTGTCCAGGATTTGTTCCTAAAGTGGCGTTAAAAAAGCAGAACCACAAAACCCAACTCAGCAAATTTGGGTTAGATATAACAGATCAGATTACAAATCAATAGCTAAAAGAAATTTGTTAGGATACCACAAAAATATCAGCTTTGAGTAAAGTCCATTTTTCTAGTTTAAGTTACATATGACTTTGTGACATAGTGCAAACCTAATACTGTGTGAATTGTTATTCTAAAACTATTAATAACTTTGCTAAGAATTTTGTGAGGACAATATTGTCTTCAGTCCATTGAGTGACAGATGTTTTCATTTTCAAACACACAAGTCCCAAAATGATATGCATAGTTAGATGAACTTGTACTTCGTTTATCAAACATATTCACTGGAAGTTAGAACTTCTTGCAAAGTAAGTTTCTTCCTACTGCTGGGCACACCAAAGACTGTTTTCAGAGCTAGGGGTAGTCCATGGTCAGTTCTCAGCTGCAAAAGATGAGTTCAGGTTTTTAAATTGAGGATGACATTCTGAGGGATGTCCTCACAGTAAAGGAAGCTGACAAGCATCATTAAACAGAGGTGCTGTTTCACTGGGTAGGTGCTACAGGAGGGCAATGCTGCTGCTCCTCTGATTTCTTCAGGTACAGCCCCTGTTCGGTGAATCACAAAATCACAGAATGTTCGGGGTTGGAAGGGACCTCTGTGGGTCATCTAGTCCAACCCCCCTGCCGAAGCAGGGTCACCTACAGCAGGCTGC